ATGCACTCACATGTACAGGTGCCTAACCCACCAGCACCAGTATGTACAGCCTGTGTAGTCAAAGATGGCCGACGTGCATTCCAAGCCTCGCTCTCGCTAGGGCTAGACGTGACGTCACCGGAACCTGGAAGTGACGGCATCAGGCTTCGGCGCACATTTTGCTTGGCGGCCATGTTTAAGTGGTAAATTCACTTTTAGGGGCAGCTGTTGACTCACATTTGTGTCAATGAGTGGGCATACCACTATTCATTTCAACACTTATCCACTAGGCGCCACAATAATTCAATTTGAATTCCTGTTCACAGCATTACAATGCACCGGCTGGTGTGTTGTGGGATGTCTGCAGTGCCGATGCGCCGATTGGTCACCACGAGATGGTGCATTGCCTCACACTGTATAGCTTGCTGGTCCTGGTGTAATTGTACCCTTAGTCCAGAGGATTTTGTGGGACTTGACTACTGAATAATAGATCCTGTTCTTAGACCAAGCAGCTGGGTATGTGTGTGTACTTGTAAAGCTGGTAGCTTTCTGTTGGAAGTGATTATCAGCCATTCATTACTTTCATGGGCACCAAAACATACTGTCTCCCCATGTAACCCAGCTTCGCTGTCCCACCTGGGACCGTACCAGCTTGGTACGGACAAGGTAGGTGTCACTAAGTAGCGCTGAATGAGCTCTAAATTTGGCTGATCCTCACTCTGCGTCAGAGCTGTCATTTCCTGGCAGCTGTAGCTGGGGTTGAAGTTGATCAAGCATGATCTACTGACCACCAAGACATGATGTATTTTTTTTTTTTGCAGGACGCTGGATGGCACTGCTGTTTGGTGATGTGAATGAAGTGTTGGTCCATACACTTCAAATAAAGTTTAAAAAAAAAAAAAAAGTAAATTTTGATGCGCTGAACAGCATATTGCATGGCCACAGCTCACTGCAGGACAAAAATGATAGCTGCCTGCATGCAAAAATGGTATGTTTAACTTACAGGCTTAACTTAAATTGCACCATGCCACGCAAGTCATAACGAGAAATAGCAAGAAGAAATTAGGCTCAGGTAAGCTGTGTTGCATGAGAATTAGGAGTTCTGAAAGCTAAACGGACTGTTAAATGAGATTTAACAGTTTGTTGGCTATTTAGACAGCACAATACAATACTGCCAATGAATCAATCTTTCAGTGGCAAAAGGTATAATAGTCAGTGTAGTTCTTGCCTTACACATAGTTATTCATCATTGGCATTTTGATTGTTTTATATAGCCACTTAAGCTGGCCATACACTTGGGAAATTTAATTCAAGCTCAATCACTTTTGAAATTGCAAACATGATGGCTAGTAATCACCAGAAACTAAGCAATCAGCTACCAGAGATGGGTCCATTGTGAAGTGAACTAGGCTTGCATTAATCAGATGTGTAAATATTTTAATTTGATTCCTCCAAACCCCTTCCCAGTAATCAGAAAAGATGTATAATTGGCAAAGAACTGTTGGCATCATCACATCAGTAAGGTTTTTGAAAAAAAACATATATAGTAAACCAAGCTGGAGTTTTCTCAAATATGACTGCACAAGTAGAACTACACTTTACCACTTGAAGATCATGTCTTTTTCTGACAAATAAAACAAGTAAACATAAGTATTTTTTGCTAGAAAATTTACTTAGGATCCCCAAATGTGATATATATTTTTAGCATAAGCCCTAGAGACTAAAATGGTGGGTTTTGCGTTTTTTTTTTTTTTTAATGTTGCACGGTATTTGTGCAGTTTTTCGAACGCAAATTTTTTTTTAGAAAAAATACACTTTAATGAATTTCAATCCACACAAACACAATATAATACCCATTTTTGGTAAAATGTAAAATGATTCTATGCCGAGTATTTACATGCCTAATGGGTCACGCTTTAAAATTGCACGCACTTGTTGAGTGGCGGAAAACTACGTTGCCATAGGACATACGACATACGAAACTTTAAACGTTTTTACAGGTTACCAGTCTAGAGTTACTGAGGTGGCCTGGTGCTAAAATTATTGCTCTTGCTCTGACATTCGCGGTAATACCTTACATGTGTGGTTTGATCACCTTTTACATAAGCGTGCAGGACCAACGCATGCATTCGCCTTTGCGTGTGAGCATGGGGCCGGGGTGCATAAAACAATTTTTTAAATTCTTTTTACACTTTCTTAATTTTTTTTTTTTTTTTTATATTGCTGACACAAGGAATGTAAACATCCCTTGTGACAGCAATAGACAGTGACAGGTACACTTTATGGAGAGCTTTGATGTCTCTTAGACCCCAGTTGTCTCCTCTGCTCTCACAAGCATCTGATCACACCAAGATTGGTGTGATCAGATACTTTACATTTTCAAAGATGGTGCTGTTTACATTGGGGAAACCTAAAGTGCCGAAAACACTTATCGCTTCCAGTTTTTTTTATTGCTGACACAAGGAATGTAAACATCCCTTGTGACACCATAGAGCTCATCAGGGACGTTGCCGTTCTCAACCAGCTTTTGTTGTAAGCTGTTGGGTTGGTAGAGCCCAGAGGCACCAGTGGGAGGGGTTGCCGCTAGGATGGTTTTTACTTAAAAGCTAGTAGCCAGCTGAAAAGAATACCAGGATGATGCCTGCAGGTACAGGCATCATCCGAGTACATGTGCGTGATTTGGCATTAAGTAGTTAAAGTGCTTCTCTAGCTTTGTTAAAGTGGTAGTAAACCCACTTTAACTTTTACCTGCAGGTAAGCTCATAATAAAGCTTACCTGTAGGTAAAATGAATATCTCCTAAACATGCACCATTTAGGAGATATTCATTTTTTCTTTTTAGCTGGCGCATGCATTCTGAAAGAACAGTATACCCGTGCCGTGGCGCATGCACGTGACGTCATCTTGGCTCAGCCAGCCAGATGGCCGGAGCTCGCGAACCTTGAAGGAAGACCGGATGAAGATGGAAGCCTTTACAGCGGTAACAGCGTGCCACTGGAGGGCTTAGTTTTAAGGTAACTTTTACATAGTGTACTAGTACATAGATGCATACTAGTACATTATGCTATTGCCTTGCAGGGTATTTTTTTTTTATTTTTTATGTGGTTTACCTCTTCTTTAAAGTACATTATCCTCAATGTGAACTGAATACCTTTCTTATGTTTTGAAGAAAATTACACTTGCCTTGATGTATCGTTTTTTTATCATTACAATATTTCATATCATTTTCAGCATTAACTTAGGAAAGAAATGGAAAGTATTTCAACAAAAAGTAGACTGAAAGGGATTCCTGTAATTTGACATGAGACTTGACTGTGCAATTTTCTGGTAAACCAATGAGTCAATCCTTCAATTTAGCAAGTCTATAAAATTTCCCCTAGTTGCCATATTGCAGGAATATGAAATCCCAGAATCTGCATATTTAAATGGAAATAACTTTCAATTACAACATGGCTTGTGCAGGAAATATATGTACTGTAGCTTATAATGCAGAACCAAGCTCTGAACAGATATTATAGACACAAGGTAAACTAGAATTGTAGGCAAAACCTTCTTTTTCATTTTGGGTAGAGTAAGAAGGAAGGGTTTTCACCCCAGTCCGTTTATTTTTGTGCCATCTGCCATTGGGAAGATTAACCTTCACTTCCTGTCCCATAGCTAAACCAGGAAGTGAGAGTCCCCACAAATTAAGGGAATCCCTTGGGGACCCCCAGGTCACCAGAACTAGCATCCCCATTGGAAAACTTCCCCTCTATTACTTTTCTGGGGACAACCAAAAATTTGGGTTTTTCTTTTGCTTTCACTTTTGATGGTAAAGAGGACAAATAGGGTGAATCTCCCTATTGGGGGGCACAGACTGCAATGAAAACCAAATAAGTGTCTGTTCAAAACTAAGAAACGAGTTTTAATTCTACTTTAAAGCAGCTCTGTATTAATTTAATACAGCATTACATGTATTTTTTAAATGCAAGAGTTGTAAGCAGGTACCAGAATTTGACCTGGTACCAGCCTCTGGGAGCCCCTGTGCAGCAGAGCTCAGAGAAAAGAAGCATTACAAAAAGTAAATCAATTAATGTCCTACCTAGAAACAAAGTGATAGGAGAGGAACGCAGGGGGACAAAAAGATAAACGCATCACTGTACTGCTTCTCTAACTGTCCAATCCAAGGCTGGGGGTGAGTACATGAGCCTGTGCTCAGTGTAAATGGGTTGAATGATGCCAGGCATCAGCCAAAAATCCTAGGACATCTTGTGGAAAGGAGGTTCCTAACAATTCATAAGGGAACACGAGAACAGTAAATTCAGGCTGCTTTAGGAGGATTTATACACTGGCAAACAAAAATGCTTTTGGCCGGCCAGGTGTGACCCCTCCCACTCTCATGGTGCTTCAGTCTGTGGACATCTTTTTTTTCTTAAGAGAAAAGCAACCCTTTTTTCCTGGACCTGTTTACTTTTATCAAGATTTTATTTTCATTTAAGATTCTTTGTTAGCCTCCCTAGCGGTCTGATTATGTCAGTATTTCTGTGCTCAAAGCGGTACTTTTTTTTTGCATGGAAATATGTATTTTTTTTTTTTATTGTAGGCCTGTAATTTTTAGGAATAACTCACTGAAATCTGTCCGAACATGTTTACGAGTCTAGTAAACATCCCGGGTATGTTAAAATTTGAAACACAAAATCATAAATTATAATTTAATAAATAATCATAAAAAATAATATATTAAATTTAATTCAATAATAAAATCAAACCGAAAACACTGAAATTTGAAATATAGTGTCAAGTTCGCACATCACTGAGCAAAGTCGCAAAATCGTTTTCAGTGTCTGATGACGAATTTCCCCACAAATCATTATCACTCAATTCTGCAAGTGGTTCTAATTTACTATCGCTGTTCTCTAGCTGGTTTAAAACTGCTTTTGACCTAAAGGGACTCTTTTTGGACGCCATGGACTTTTCTCAGTTTCAAGGCAGAAAGAACAGTAAAAATGCAGGCAGGGCACAGGACAAAGCACTAGGGACAAAATGTATGTGAAATGGTTTGATACAGTAATGTTTTGCTATGTGATTTTAGTGTATTTAGTGAATGTCACTTTTTCACATTTTCAAATTTCCCGCCGTTCTGTCCCCGTACGTCCTGTTGTCGCAGGGGACGGAACCCAGAAGACAGATGCTGGCATCGGCCAGAGGACATTGCAGGGCACACTGCAGGAGGGACATCGCAGGAGCACAGGACAAGGTAAGTGAAGAAGAGATACTGGAGCAGTGCTGCAAGGTATTCCTGAGTATAGCTCGGGGTTACCGCTTGTGGTGGTGAAACTTTACCCCGAGCTACACTCGGGAATACCTCCAGGGAGGTTAAAGGCTAATTCCACCTGTAGTAACACATTACGCCCAGATATCAGACACTCATTAGTGGATCTCTCCTGTTATTCTACTGTATTCTGATGGCGAATGCTCTTCTTGACAAATCCGGTTGTTAAATCAGCTTCTGTTGAACAGGCAGCAGTATACAGCAGGAACCATCCGAATTTTGGTACGTTGTACCGGTCTTTACAGTGGAAACGCACTCCAACAATCTGTGAGCACTTCCTGGTCTTTAGGCATCATGCATCTCATTCCCAGATTTACAAGGCTAGATTAACAAAGTCGACTAAGCGTGTGCATAAGTACCCCTAGTTTTTTTTTTTTTTTTTTTTTTTTTTCACGCTTTCATCATATCGACATTATTAGGTAGCCTGCATTTATGTGCAGAGCACCCAAGGTAGTGCCCACATGTGATGCTGAGCTTCCATGATGGAAAAAGCAGAAATGCAATTTAAAAAAGGATGGTCCAGAGACTGGGATTGGGAAGGAAAGGGCCTGAATGAATGAATTTGGACATCCTCCATGCATCAATTGAGCCTGGCACTGTCTGACTTCTAAGTTAATGCATATTGAGTGAATCTCACAGTGTACAGCGAAATCAATTTCAGTACAGGAGCTTTAAATAGGCATATTACAGTCACATTAGTGGTCCAGGTTTGTATTCATTGAAAAAATATCTAACTGCAATTTTAAATTCTTTAGATCTCTGTATTCGCCTTCTTTAATCTCTTAGAAAGGGACACCTCTCTAACCTAATCCGTCATGGCACAGTTTGGTGAAACTGACAAGTAAAGCTTGCTTACTGGAGGGAAGAGCAGCAAGCTACTCTTCTTTCATTGTCCAGACATAGTCTTGATTGAGAGTATGGTTTGGTTTTGAGTCCAGTGGCAAAAATAAATAGTTATTATGCTATTGTATTGAATCTGCCAGAGGTATTTAAATTGGACCGCGGCTGAACAGAACTACAAATCATTTGGCATGCAAAGCGGTTTACAAAATGTATGAATGTATTTTGTTTTCCTACACTTAAACATTAAATGTTCAGTAATTGAGCATTGTTCTAAATGTACACAGATGTTTTAAGAAATGCTGTCTTATCATTTGGACTTAACATATTTGCTTTTTTTGGCAGGCCATTGAAGAATTTCTGGCTGAATTGAAGAACCGGGAACAACCGCAAGTGATTACCGTGCCCCCAGACACTGCTGTGAAATTTTTAATGGCTCGGAAGTTTGATGTTTCTAGAGCAATAGATTTATTTCAAGCTTACAGAGTAAGTGTACACTTACCCCACAGTACTGAGCTTAATAATTAAATTAATTGCCAAACTTTAGTGCTAACATACCTATATTTTCTGCTGATCTGTTACATGTCAGCACCCAGTACTTTTGGCAAAGTAAATGCTATTCAGTGAGGGGTTGTTAAAGTGATTCTAAAGGTTTATTTATTTTTTTTTAAGAAAAAATAACAAACATGTCTATACTTACCTGCTGTGTGCAGTGGTTTTGCACAGAGCAGCCTGGATCCTCTTCTTCTCGGGTCCCTCGCATGTTCTCCTGGCCCCTCCCTCCTGTCATGCCCCCACAGCAAGCAGCTTGCTATGGGGACACCCACTTCTCTGTGTGTTCATTCACACACACAGCTGCGGTTCGGCCCCACTCCCTCTCTCTTCTCATTGTTTCACTGGCTGTGATTGACAGTCTAAGCCAATGAGAAGAGGTAGTCCCGGAATAGCTGAAACTCCAGTGCACATCGCTGGATTGAGAGGGGTCTTAGATGAGCATTAGGGGGGGGGGTGCTGCACACAGAAAGTTTTTCTACCTTCATGTATAGAATCCATGAAGGTAAAAACCTTCAACCTTGACAACCATTTTAAGTTTGTTTTTCAATTTTAAATTGAATCTGATGTATGCTAAAATGTTTATTGGGCTATAGCAGTACTGATGTGCAGACCAGACACCTTTGCAGTGCTTGTGAGCATCTGTGTGTTAAGGTGACTGTAAACTGTCCGTTCTGCTTGTTCAATCTCCTTTATATTTACTATTATCCCTGTATTACAAGAGCTTGTCCGATTGGATTACAGATGCAGATTGAAAGTATTGTTGCATTTTTCCAGTGTGTTTTATGTAACTTCAAAGTGGAGTATACAGTAATTAATTGGGTAGTGCATAGCTGTTGTCACACCAGCCATTCTGTCACTGGGGAGAACTAGCCAGCAACAGAATTGCTAAAATATTCAGTGAGAATGCTGCTTCTATGTGTTGCAACCTCATTAGCTAGATCAGAATGATGTCACTTTCTTCCTGGCAAAAACATGCAGACTGTTCTTAGTCAGTGAGAAAAAAAATCTTTCTGTGAATGAAACATGATTTATCCATTCAAAAATCCTGTTTCATTCATAGAAGCTGTAGTACTGATTTCTGTAAATTAAGAAACTGGGTACAAAGGATAGGCATAGCCCAGTACTCTTGATGCTTGCCTGTCAGGGCTCCCTATTAGCCCCCACCACACCTGAAAGATTATACGAGAAGGGGGGCGGGAAGGATCAGAGGAGGAATATTTCTGCTAAACTAGGACACAGTAGCACAAGAGACTCATCATGTTGAAGGTAAGTGATATCCCTTGTGCAGATTGGTGGTTTTTTTTTTTTAATAAATTCAAAATAATGTACACACACGTTAAAATATCAGGTTTCTGTGATGTAAAAAAATGAAACCGATAAATAATTTCAGAACTTTTTCCACCTTTCAATTTAGCCTATAAACTGTACGACTCAGTTGAACAACAAACTGACGTCTTTTAGGTGGAGGGAAGTAAAACTAAAATATGGTTGCAGAAGTGTGCACACCTGTAAACTAATACTTTGTTGAAGCACCTTTTGATTTGATTCCAGCACTCAGTCTTTTTGGGTATGAGTCTATCAGCATGGCACATCTTGACTTGGCAATATTTGCCTACTCTTCCTTGCAAAAACACACCAAATCTGTCAGATTGCGAGGGCATCTCCTGTGCATAGCCCTCTTCAAATCACCCCACCGATTTTCTATTGGATTCAGGTCTGGGCTCTGGCTGGGCCATTCCAAAACATTAATCTTCTGGTGAAGCCATTCCATTGTTGATTTGGATGTATGCTTTGGGTTGTTGTCATGCTGAAAGATGAAGTTCCTCTTCATGTTCAGCTTTCTAGCAGAAGCCTGAAGGATTTGTGCCAATATTGACTGGTATTTGGAACTGTTCATAATTCCCTCTACCTGACTAAGGCCCCAGTTCCAGTTAAAGAAAAACAGCCCCAAAGCATGATGCTGCCAACACCATGTTTCACTGTGGGTATGGTGTTCTTTTGGTGATGGGTAGTGTTATTTTTGCGCCAAACATATCTTTTGGAATCATGGCCAAAAAGTTCAACCTTGGTTTCATCAGACCATAACACATTTTCCTACATGCTTTTGGGAGACTTCAGATGTGTTTGTGCAAAATTCAGCCGGGCTTGGTTGTTTTTCTTCGTAGGAAAAGGCTTCCATCTTGCCACTCTACCCCATAGCCCAGGAACATGAAGAATACGGGAGATTGTTGTCACATGTACCACACAGCCAGTACTTGCCAGATATTCCTGCAGCTCCTTTAATGAATGCCATAGGCCTCTTTGCAGCCTCCCAGAACAGTTTTCTTCTCTTCTTTTTCATCAATTTTGGAGCGATGTCCAGTTCTTGGTAATGACCCTATTGCGCCTTATTTCCTCCACTTGATGACGACTGTCTTCACTGTGTTCCATGGTATATCTAATGCTTTGGGAATTCTTTTGTACCCTTCTCCATACTGATACCTTTTGACAATGAGATCCCTTTGATGCTTTGGAAGCTCTCTGTGGACCATGGTTTTTGCTGTAGGATGTGACTAAGAAAATGTCAGGAAAGACCTACTAGAACAGCTGAACTTTCTTTGGGGTTAATCAGAGGCACTTTAACCTCCCTGGAGGTATTCCCGAGTGTAGCTCGGGGTAAAGTTTCAGCACCACAAGCGGTAACCCCGAGCTACACTCGGGAATACCTTGCAGTGCTGCTCCGTACGGGGATTGAACTGGCGGCAAATTTAAAAATTTTAAAAAGTGACATTCACTAATACACTAAAATCACATAGTAAAACATTACTGTATCAAAGCATTTCACATACATTTTGTCCCTAGTGCTTTGTCCTGTGCCCTGCCTGCATTTTTACTGTTTTTTTTCTGCCTGGAAACTGAGAAATGTCCATGGCATCCAAAAAGCGTCCCTTTAGGTCAAAAGCAGTTTTAGACCAGCTACAGAACAGCGATAGTAAATGAGAACCACTTGCAGAATTGAGTGATGGTGTGTGGGGAAATTTGTCATCAGACACTGAAAACGATTTTGCAACTTTGCTCAGTGATGTGCGAAGTTGGCGCTATATTTCAGTGTGTTTGGTTTGATTATATTATTTAATTAAATTTATTATTATTATATTCTTTTTTATGACTATATTATAATTTATGATTTCGTGTTTCAAATTTTAACATACCCGGGACTCTTGTTCGGACAGATTTCAGTAAGTTATTCCTAAAAATTACAGGCCTACAATAAAAAAATACATATTTCCATGCAAAAAAATGTACCGCTTTGAGCACAGAAATATGGACATAATCAGACCACTAGGGAGGCTACATGATGGCAGGTGTGTACTGACTCCTATTTAACATGATTTTGAATGTGATTGCTTAATTCTGAACACAGCTACATCCTCAGTTATGAGAGGGTGTGCACATTTATGTAACCACATTGTTTTCGCTTTTTCTGTTTACTCATCCCCCCCCCCCAAAAAAGATTTCAGTTTGTTTATCAATTGAGTTGTACAGTTTATAGGTCACATTAATGGTGGAAAAAATTCTGAAATTATTTTATCTTTCTCATTTTTTTACATCACAGAAACCTGACATTTTGACAGTGTGTGTGTGTGTGTGTGTGTGTGTAGACATTTTATATCCTGTGTGTGTGTGTGTGTGTGTGTGTATATGTATTTATATATATATATATGTATATGTGTGTATATATATGTATATGTATAATATATACACACACCTACCTCAGCATAAAATGGTACACTCCAACAGATTTGTCAGAAAACCTTTCTTTTCAGCTTTTCAGAATCAATATTTTCTAGGACACTATACTACAAAATCTTCCCACAAATGCGGGCAGTTGATTGCAAACAAGATTTGTTAATTTGCGCACACAAAGTATTTTTTCTAACAAATTCATTCAAGTTCGTGTTCCAGAATGAATACACCCAATAAAAGTCTTAGGAGCAAAGCTAAATTTTTAACCAACAAAATCCTAATTAACAAGAATTCAACAGATTATTAAACAGGTGTCCAGCAGACAGTTGATTATAAAAGGGCATTACTTAACCAAGAAAACCCATTCCTATTTCATGCTGTCAGCAATGGCACCACATGGAAAAGAAATGTCGCAAGGCCTGAGAAAGAGAAATAGTTTTGTTACACAAGAAAGGTGAAGGCTACAAAAAGATCAGCAAAGCTTTACTTATCAGTCAGAATACTGTAGCAAAACTGATGCAAAAATGTAACTAAGATGGAACTTCAACCATCTCAAACAGACGTCCTGGCCTTCCACGGAAATTAACACCTCGATAGGAGCATCTTCTGATGAGAAGGGTTGGAGAAAATTGCCATGCAAGTTCACTGCAGTTAGCTTAAGAAGTAGAAAACCAAACTGGGCTGATTTTTTCTCCTCACACAATATGGCGTACACTGCAGAGGAATGGCATGCATGGGTGTTGTTTACGAAGTCAGCCTCTCTTAAAGCCCATGTACAAAAAAGCCTGCGTATAATTTGCCAGGGCCCATGCTGAAAAAGAAGACAACTACTGGGACTCTGTACTCTGGAGTGATGAGACCAAGATAAATGTTTTTGGAACTGATGGCTTCATAACTGTGTGGCGTGGCAAAGGTCAGGAATGCAAAGAAAAATGCATGGTGCCTGCAGTGAAACATGGTGACAGTGTCCTTCTGTACAGCTGCATGAGTGCTGCTGGTGTCTGGGAGCTGCATTTCATTGATGGTATTATAAATTCACAGATGTACTCTATATTCAAAGAGAAGATACTACTATCAGTCCATGCCCTTGGTCGTTGTGCACTTTTCCAACATGACAATGATCCAAAACACATCTAAGGCCACTGTTGCATTCCTGAAGCAGAACAGGGTGAAAGTGATTCAATGGCCAAGTATGTCTCCTGATCTGAACCCAATCACACCATTGGGGAATTCTGAAGAGACATCACTCTCCATCCAGCATCCAGGCTCTAGAAGAGGTTGTTTTTGAAGAATGGAAAAAGATTGATGTTTCAATATGTCACCAAGTTGTTTGTTCCATACCTAGAAGACTTGGTCCTGTCCTTACAAATCATGGAGGTCATACAAAATACTAAATGTAGGTGTACCAAGCTGATGAGGGCAAGATCTCTCGATAGCTGTTGTGCATGGCTGCTCTTGTACTATGTAGATGGACATTTACTTGTAACTGAAAAGAAAGCAACGAACTCTATTTAATGATGAATCTGTATCAAGCGGTTGATGTTTCCTATTTCTTGTCAAGTACAAATTGGGTAATGGAAGGCTAAATCAAGTGGCCTAGGGCAAAGCAGAAATCTTCCTTTTAGATGTTTAGATGATGCGTAAGGCTACATTCACAGCATTTTTCCATGCTTTGCAGTCAGTGTGGTGGTTTTTTAGCATACCTTATCGTTTATCATTATGGAAGGTGCTTTTTTGTTATTATTATATAGGATTTATATAGCGCCAACAGTTTGCTCAGCGCTTTACAATATAAAGGGAGACAATACAGCAACAATATAGTTCAATACAAGAGGGTTAGGAGGGCCCTGCTCCTTGGAACTTGCAATCTATGTTGGAAAATGCACCAAGATACTTGCCTTGGTTTCTTCCCTCTTCTTCCACTTGTGGAAGGGTTGTTTGGAAGCTGGTTCTCTCCTTGATTCCCTGATGCTTCTTTTCTGTTCCTTCCTTACCCTGTCCCGCTGGGCAGCACGATATTTATTTTTTGCTCTGTCATCTTTGTCTTTTTGTGCAATGTCTTCTTTAGGACCTGCCCCCCCCTTTTCTCTTATACCCTTACAGGAAGGACCATTTTGGTCCCCCCTCTTTTTCTTCAACTTAAATAAGGACATGTGCGTTCCGGTGCATTTTTGATGAGTTTACTGCGTTCCAGTACAGTTCAGTGCAGAAAAAAATGCAGCATGTTCGTTTTTTTTTTTTTTTTTTTTTTGTTTTTTTTTTTTTTGTTTTTGTTTTTATATGTGAACAAGGCTGGAAGCTTTTTTTACTGGGTTATATGTGTATTTAAATGCCTCAGTGTCAATAATCTGGGCATAGGTGCACTTTTATGTGAATGAATGCAGACTAGGGGAAACAGCCTGTGCTTATCTTGCATCACACTTACTGCTTGTCGCACTTCTGGATGTGAAATGTTCTGAGCTACCCTAAGAAAATATTCACAAAACTTTGCTGCCCTGTACAAAAAATAAATAAATACAATTTCAATAATGTTTAAATCCTTCTGGTATAAATAACAATATTCTTTGCATTGCATTCTCAAGATTCCTATTTATCTGCCACTGGGAAGGAGTACACTGTGAGTCAGTCACTGGCAGGTGGCCTAGAGATTTTATTTGTTTATATATAGTAAAAGCAGGATTCTGTAGCATGCACACGAATTATGGGGGTGGATGTTATCTAATGGCTTAGTTGCATTGTACGTTTTGTCATTTTACCATTTTTCAGGAAATTGGAGCAAGAAAGTTGTTCAGATGGGCTTACATGAAGAGGGGTGCTTAGGAAGGAACTTGTCAGTATATTACATTTATTATCAGTTCGGCAGGCTCTGAATAGTGGTGTCACCCACTTTTGAGGATAAAGCCATTTTTGACTATTAAATGCAGCAAGTGTGTGTAAAAGACAAAAAAATTGCATATTTTGGCAGTTACTGCCGTTCATAATTTTTTTTTTCAAATGTTTCCATTTGAGCAAGAATTGTTACTAATATGAACTGCTTGACTTCCTTTCTCTGTGTAACAGAACACGAGACTGAAAGAAGGGATCTACAATATTAACCCAGATGAAGAACCTTTACGCTCTGAGTTGCTGAGTGGTAAATTTACGGTTTTAGTAAGTATTAATATTGTTTCTAAACTGTTTCAGCTGTTTTTTCCCAGGGCAAAAATACTGTTGGGAAAACGTGACTAGGTGGACTACTGTAAGGTTGTAGGTTTAAAATCTATATTGCAGTAAATTTACTAAATGGATACATCTAATTAAAATCTACTAAAGTATTTTTAGGTATGCCTGGAAAACCGATAAGCTTTAGTTAAATAACAGTATCAGTATGTGTTAATATTTGAAAAAAAATGTTTCCATATTTGCACACTGCATATGCAGGCTTTGCCTTATTTTGCCAGCGCTACACAGTGGCTGGGCAAGTATGTGAATCATCCAAATTAACAAAAACTATCGCTGTGTCTCTGCAGTTGTTAAGAGGGTGGCAGAGTAATTGGATCTACCCACTGAGGTGCATCCTAGTGCCTGACCTACAAATATCCATATTTATTGCAATATTGAACAATATTGAAAAGCAAGGTTGTAAAATGTCAATTCAAAAATTAATTGAAGTACAACTATGGCCTCCTAAAAAAAAAAAAAAAAAAAAAAAGTCCTGCATTGTATGGGAGGATGGACCCAGCCACATTCCAATGCATTGGACAGCAGAGAGTGATTGCTATTGGGGGAGCATGGATTAGCTATTAGTGCTTATTCCCTTTTTCCCCTAACCAAATGAGCATTTAAACCATGCCATGCTGGGGGAACCCACTGCATGGGCAAATTGAACTGCAATCCAGAGTTGGGGTTTACATTTTCTTACTTTTACAATTGCCTATTAGCTGTATTTTTAACTGTTAAACAAAATAGGACAACAGTAGGCAAAAAAAAAATATCAGACAGCTATTCGTTCTTTGGGGATTCCCACAAAAGCAATTTTATTCAGTTTTTCAATTGGTCAATCTAATTAACTGAAACCTGTCTTTCTACTGACTTGCCATATGCCAGCTGACAAGCAGATGTGCAGTGAGTGCTAGCTATCTAAGTAATGGTCAGTAGGTTAAGATTGTTTTGCAGGTGGAAGGACCACAGTGGGGGTTGATTAATGTACGTTAAATGATGATTATTTTGTGTATAGTTTCTTTCTTATGGTCAGGACAAAAAAAGGTAGAGAAATTTTTATATTTCAGTAAGTCAAAATGTATATTACTATCTTTTGTCAGTAGGTGAAACTCTTGGCTCATTTTTACATGCTGAGGTATTGTCTTTTTAAAGCCTGTTTACAAAGACCTGTTTGCAGAGGTCCCTAGCTCAAGCTGCAATTTATACATAGAACGGAATGAGTAATTGTAGCGACTCATCCCTTGTCTGCTGATGGTTCCATCTCAAATATGAGACTAGCTAACACACACATAGTAAGAATCCTTTGTATTGTATTTGTAAAAGAGAGATTTTGTGTACATATCACTGGATCAAGGTAAGGTAAGTGCAGCAAGGTGTATTACACTTACCCTAATACCCTGATCTAGAAGTCTGCAGGCAGCCATATTTGGAATCTTACTGCCAACCAGTCAGCTGCAGAATGGGGGGTAGAAGGCAGACGTTTGCCATTATCAAGAGCCCTGTATCTTGAGATTGGAGGTAAGTGTAGTACATATTAATAAAGTACTTGTTCGCCCTTTCCCTGGCCCACTTAATACACACACAACAGTCAAAAAAATAAATTACATGTTTTTTGGGGGTTTTTTTTTGCATGTTCTGTATACCTACACAGAAATTTGTCGATGTGGGTCCCAAATACATGCTTAGGGGAAACAAATAAAGGGCCATGTAAAGATGACTTGATGGGATCAAGAATGTTAAATGCAACCAAAATTATTCTTACGGTCTGGCAAATATTTATTGGTGGACTGGCTGCAGGTAAAAACTAACATCCTTAGACTTGAATCAGACATACTACAGTAGCCATGTCCCATTAGGTCTGTGGGAAGGCATGGGCAGCCCGGCATGCTGGCATCCTTTTTTTACTGGCGGGTATGCAGACAGCCCAGGAAGCTGCAGCTATTGGAGAAGGTAAGTACAGACCTGTCTCAGGTGACACAGATGGGTGTATGAAAGGGGCTATGGGATTATTTTTTTTTTTTTTTTTTAAAGGTGAACATATACGTTAAGCACCCTTCACCCTGATCAGATACTAGCATTCCAGACATGCTTCTTTAAATCTGCCAGTAGTCCCAACATTTGTCCTTCTGACAATACATTTTCCTACAGAAAAGAAAAAAAAATGTAAAATATATATATATATTTTTTTTCATTTAGCAACATAGTAAAATTTTTTGGACTTGACAAAATCTTTGAAATGGATAACCCGTATGTGAATTGTGTTTTGTGATTTGTGACTGTGTGAACGTTCTTATGGCCTGAAGCAATGTACTTGTGTGGACAGTGTTCCTGTTTACTCCAAATGTAATAGCCATTTATTTGCTTCTCAATTACAGCCCGGAAGAGATGCAAATGGAGCAGCTTTAGCCCTGTTTACTGCTCGGCTTCATCGGCCGGACGTGACCACGCATAAGGCTGTTCTTCAGGCTATTATCTATCAGCTAGATAAAGCAATTGAGAGGTAATTTATTGATGAGCAATAAGCAAGCCTCTTCCTTCCCATCAGAAAAATCTGATCTGGATGGAGATATGTTGAACACCGATGGGCACATTTCTTTGATCTGTTCATAAAGAACCAAGTTAAAGATGGCTTTCATCCAAATGTCCTATTGAAGTTCACATTTCTAATGTTTTTATGTTTGGGACATTGTTTTTTTTACTGAACGGAACTATAGTCATGGGATTATTTGCTGGACATTTTTTTTCCTGCAGTTATTGATTTTCAAGTCCATTGCTGTGATCTCATATTGTGCTCTGGAAAAAGCTTATAACAGACCATTGTTGCCATAGTGAAGTGGAAATATATATTGTAATATCTTAGAATGTGGAAGAAATACTGTGAAAAAGTCAGTGTTGTTTAATTTTATAATTTCCAGATTATATTCTGCATTTCCATACACTTAAAATCTAGAATGCTTTTTAATGTACTCTTGGAACATTTCCACTAAGCAATGTTTTTCACCTAAAGAAATAAGGTGTGTGACTTTTGTATGACTATCAGGCTGCCACACAACATTTATTCCTGTTAGAATTACCAACATATCACTGTTTTTACATCTATTGCAATACGTATGCAGATTGAATGGTTATAGTTGTGGTTTATTTTTAATTTACAATTTTTGTTGTGTAGAGTGGAGACTCAGCGCAATGGGCTAATATTCATCTATGATATGATTAATTCCACCTATGGAAATTTTGACTATGAACTGTGTGTGAAGATTTTGAACCTTTTAAAGGTTAGTTTTTTTTTTTGTTTCTAATTTGTTCTAATCTGTTAAGAGTATGCAAGCAAACTGCAGATAAACAAAGATAGCCACACCTTGTCAGACCAATATAATTTACGAAGTGTAGAGTGAAGTCTCATATAAACATTGAAAATATTGGACCAATGATTGTCTGTCTGTTTTTCTTTGTTTTTGTTTTGGTGTTTTTTGTTTTTTTTGCATGCTAGTCTCATATCAAAAGTGAAGAGGTTACTTAACCCCTTGACGCCGACGTAACGCAAATATGCGGCCTTTTTTATTAAATTATTTTTTATACTAGTAATGGCGGCTATCAGGACTGCGGGACTGAGGCGGGCATTCTAACACTGAGTGGGAACTGACTGCCACTGATCTCTCCAATGGCACAAATACAGAGATCAATGCTAATAAAAAGCACTGACACTGCTAATGAAATTGGACAGGAAGGGGTTAACATCTGGGGCGATCAAAGGGTTAACAGTGTGCTGTGTGTGTTTTACTTGGGAAACCTGCTGCTTTGTATCTCTCTGCTGTGCAGAGATACAAAGTAGCATGTTCATGCTGACAGGAGAGAGATCTGTGTTTTTTACACGCAGATCTCTCCCCATTCAGCCCTGCAGACGATCCGAGTCCTGGTCGGGACCCGGTGATTTACATAACTAGCAGCCAATAGTGGCGTGGGTAGGGCGTCACACTTGCCACCTATCTAGAAATACAAAATCACATATTTTTACGTGATTTTGCGAAGGGGAGCCTATGGTATCTGCTATGGAGCGGCTCTTAAGTGGTTTTAAAGTATTTAGACCAAAGTAACTGGTTTTATTTCTAGCCCACCTTCTTTGCTACAAATACTTCCCTTCCTCACCCAATTTCTTTGCCAAACTCCTATGTAAGCACAGTGTCACTTTTTGTCAGAGCACACAGTGTCGTTTTTTGTCAGAGCGCACACAGTGCTAAGGGCCTCTTCCAACTATATGGTAGTGCTCAGCCTGGGTGATTGCCCACTTAGATGCAATACACTGCATCATAGGGATAACAGGAGATGCTCTCATGCACCCCAGAAATGCTGGACAGTACCAGCGACTGAGGTGGTAAGCGAGCATGAGAAATGGAAATGTCTTCAATGAAAGAGGCAGGCCACCAATGAACATGTTACTTTTGCTGAACAGACAAAAAGATAGGTTACGTTTAAACATTCATTTGGTGTGGCAATCGGTTACAAGTTTGCAGTGCAGAACATTGCCTTACTTTGAAATCCTATCTCCGCTTGGAGTGGTTATTTGCATAAAATGTATTATTAGGATGACTAAGGTCAGTGTGTATGTATTTACTTTAGATAATTGTTGAATCATCCATTCTTTCTTTTTTTACCTAGGGTGCTTTTCCTGCACGGTTAAAATGTGTTTTTATTGTATCCTCTCCTCTTTGGTTCCGAGCTCCATTTGCAGTTCTGCGTCTTTTTGTCCGTGAAAAACTGCGAGAACGGGTACAGTATTTTTTTTTTTTTTTTTTTTTAGTTGATAGTGTGCTTAAACTGTGCTGCCTAACATACCCAATACTGTGAGGTTTTGTTTGCAGTTCAAAAACTACTTTGGTCTAAGCAAAGCTTTCTGTAGTTTCGACTGGTAAGACAGTTTAGATCTCTTAATAGACTGTGCAATATACACCTCTTTCTGTCAGTTCTTTTCCATTGAATAATCCTATACAATGGATGCCCTGGTAATCAGCCTGAGCTCACAGTACTCCTAGATGGTTTGGTATCCACACATTACATGAGGCTTTAAGGTTAGTGTAAGCCTTGCTTTCTCTTTGCCTTCCTCCACCATTAAAAGCTGCAATTTGCTTTTTCCTTTTCATTCTTTTATCATGTCCATGATTATTAGAGCAGTGGGGATGCTATTAACTACAGGGATTTTGAGAAAGGAGGAAGGGCTGTGCTGCTACTGAGAAAAGTTGCACTGCTTACCTATCACTTCTGCACCTTCCATCATTCACTGAACTTGTACTATTGTCCCACAATGCATTGTGTTTTGTAAGTGGGTTAAGAGCAGTGGAATGACAGAATCTCCCCTGTACATTTACAGAATGCAGTGCATTGTGGGACAGTAATAGTTCTGTGAATGGCAAAGAGGGTAGAAGGGGGTGGGCGAGGTGACCTACACAGTGCCAGAAAATAGACCCTCAGAACAGTATCCATGTGGCTCTGAAGAGGGCACAGCATGGAAGATTTTTACCAGAATTAGCTGCCTACAGGCCTACAGATAATGTGATATACACTATTACATACAGCAAAACAATATTAAATTCCCCCCTTTCTTTCTCTGGTATTTGATCACCTGTGCAGTTTTTATTTTTTGTGCTATAAACAAAAGACAGACCATTTAAAAAAAAAAAGCAATATTTTTGATTTTCTGCTATTAAACAAAAAATTAAAAAAATTAAATTTAGGCCAAAATGTATTCTGCTACATGTCTTTGCTAAAAAAAAAAAAAAAAAAAAAAAAAACCCAATACATGTTAAATTAAAATGGTGTATGTGAAAGTTATAGTGTCTACAAATGGCGGTATATATACTGTAATTTTTATTTTTGTTGTTTTTTACTAGTAATGGCGGCGATCATTCGACTTATTGCGGGACTGCGGCGGGCATTCTGACACTGGGTGGGAACTAACTGCCACTGACATCCCCAGTGACACTAATACAGTGATCAGTGCTAATAAAAAGCACTGACATTGTACTAATGACACTGGGCAAGAAGGCATTAACATCTGGGGCGATCAAACTGTTAACTATGTGCTGTGTGTTTTACTGTGTGGACAAGCTGTGTATTGCTCTGCTGTGCAGAGCAATATAAAGCAGCTTGTTCGTCCTGACATGTGAGAGATCTGTATTGTTTACATTCAGACCTCTCCCGTTGATTGACATGCCAAGGAGCCAATAGCGCATGGGTAGGGAGCGCGCGCCCCCTACTCGGAAATACAAACTAACGTGTGTATATATACGTGATTTTGCACATCCCTGCCGCCCTGTAGCAGTACTTCTGCTATAGGGTGGTTGGGAAGCGGTTAATATTAAACATGTTATACTTACTGCTCTGTGCAATGATTTTCGCAGGGACAGGAAGCGAGTGAAAGTCTCCTTCCAGAGAGGTCACAGGGATAGGAAGTTAGAGGAAGTCTCCCTCCCATGGGGGTCCCCGATTGTCCTCTTCTGGGGTTCCCTATCATCACTTCTGGCTGCTCCTCTTTAGCGACTGCTCCCATCATTAGCGGCTTCCTATAGGGGCACTTGTCCATGGTTGATCAGACACAGACAGCATGTCTCTGCCCCCACACTTCCTTGTCACAGAATTTGATTGCCAGCACTAGGAACCAATGGTTTCTGATGCTACCAATCTGTCCTGTGAGGAAGAAGGGAGCGGACACAGCGCTGGATCGAGATCAGGCTCAGGTAAGTATAAGGGGGTGCAGGAAGGGGTTGTTATGCTTGTGGCACAGAAGGTTTTCTTAATGCAGAGAATGAGCTTGTATATAGTCAGGGAAGGATGTGAAGACAATACATTTAAAACTAGGTTTTATGGAATTTCTCCTCTATATGGTAATAGAAACTGGAAGGTCCTCCATGGTCCTAATTTCCTGGACTTTGGATATACACATACCCACAGAAACAAGGGCTTGGTGACTTCCACTTTAAAGAGGAGAAGGCCTGCAGCTTTAATAAAATCTATAAGAATGGGGTCAAGTGGAGGAGGTTAGCCCCTGGGTTTTGATATACTTTCTAATTTCTAACTCTTGAGTGTTAGAAGATCACACGTGGCTGTGATTGATCACACTTGATAAATAGCACAGTTGTATGTGATTAGTCATGGATGATAAATCCTGGGCCAGGGATAGAACACTTTTAAGGAGGTGGAGATCTACCTGAACAACATGGAAGAAGTCAAGGATCACCCGGCAGTGTCTCCTCCTCACATCTGATTTAAACCTCTAATTGCAATACTACCGTGTTGCAATTGCGTGCCTTGCACGGCAATCATGGGTTTCAATCAGGTGGTGAGGCAACATATCACCTCCTCACCAACTGTCAAACACACTTGGATCGCTTTTCAAAGGAGCAGCAGTGCCTGCTGCACTTGTGAAGGAGCCCTGAGGCATCAGCCAAAGGTGTATACATGCCACAGCAGGAATTAACCCTCCTGTTGTTTTGCTTTTGATGGGTGCTATCACCTGCCAATCATGACCCATTCAAGTAAATGGGACCACTCTGCAAGCGCCCTACAACTGCATGCTACTGCGGGGTCCAAGCGGTTAAAGCAGGTGGTGAGAAAGCGACATAACGCTGCCTGTTTTAACACCTTGTTTGCTGTACTGCACAAGGTTGCAGGACACTTGGAGTGGCCTCATGCACTTGAATGGGTCATGCTTGGCAGGTGCTACACATACCAACCCACCTTTTGCATCTTATGTACACCCCTGGCTACTGTAGCTCATGGGGGTGTAGTTGGAGCGTGTGTTAAAAACATGTCTTAACTATGGGGTTTTACCACTCCCCAAACTGCAAATGTAAATGAGTCCTTACTGTTCTGAACCCCCTCTAAGGCTGCTTTCACACTGATGTGCTGTGGTTAAACTGCACTGCATGTGCAAAGCAGTGCATCTGTGATTTTCCTGGGTTAGCTGCGCTTAGCCATAGACTTCTATTAAATTCTGCAGGTGTGGTACACTTTCTGAAAGCACACCAAAACTCCTGTCTTCGGGAGCGCACCAAACCCACAGGATATAACAGAAGTCTATGGCTATGTGCAGCAAACCTGCAGGAAAGCTGCAGGCACACTGCAGTGCACTTGCGGTTTGGGTAAACCGCAGTTCATCGGTGTGAAAGCAGCCCTGTACTTATGCCCAGTGTATTGATTTTCACTGACCTGAAGATATCTTCTTTGATGCTGCTGGCACCACTCTGGAGACCACTAGACTGGATAAGAGGTGGAGTGCAGCTGGTATCGCTCCGTGTGGGACAGGAGCCAGCACTACAGAGGAGGCATCGGCTTATGCGGCTCTTGCTCCCTACTACAATTCCAGCATTACAAGTAGTCTCTCTACATTGCACTCTGATGGTCATGAATGGCAGATCAGCAATCCCAGAACGCGATCTACCAATCATCCGGCTGCGATCTACTGATAGATCGCAATCTACTGGTTGCTGACCCCCATCCTAGATATGCAGCAGTTGCATAAAGCTGGAGGAGAGGTTACTGCAAAAGATTTTGAACTAGCTGATTACACAGTTTTTAGACTCTTCACCATTGCTTGTAAAGTTTGGGTTTAATGTGTATTTCTATTTTGCAGTCAAATTTGTGAAACCCCAACTATGTTTGTGTTCCTATTCACACAGCATTTTTTTTTTAAATTAATTAAAAAAAGCGCTTTACATATAGTGTACCACCCAAGCCTTAATGCATTGTTAGGGCATACAACATGAACATCTAGTTTACAATCGATAATTGAAGATCTGCCAAAATGATACTTACAGGGTTAAAGTGGAAGTCTGGTCTAAACCTGTCTAAGCCTAAACCTACTCTCACCCCCATTCTAAGCTCTATACTTACTAGCCTGTAAGGGAAAGATGTTTATACTTAACTAACATAATGATACTCTGGTCTGATCACGTGAGCTGGCTTCAGTGTGGAGGAAGGACAGTGGACAACGGATGCCCCATGGTAAGTCTGTGGGTGGAGTCTCCTCATACCTGAAGTCGGCTGCTGGGGAGATAGCGTGACTGGACCTGAACGTCCTTAGATTGTGTAAGTGTACACACCTTTCATTTACAGGATAGTTAGTATAAAGTTTAGAATGGGGTTTAGATCAGACTTCTACTTTAATTGATAAATGTAACTCCTTATTCCCCTTTTACATTACATAGAAGGGGAAAGCTAAGTGGAATTATTCAGCAAGGAAAAAGGTAAGCAGCTTTTTTTGTTTTGTGAATGGGAACATGCAAGCACTATAAAGTAGCTGTTATCCCAGTTTGGCTCCAAAATGAAATTACGCTTTAGGGGAGCCTCAAAACATCCTGGATTTCCATTCTACATTTAAGTTCAGATTTATGACTATATTATTTTCTGTAACCCATAGCAAGCCATCATAATTTGTAATTTATTGCAGCGGGTACACTGTACTCCCACAACAAGTATCTTTTTGGTAAAGGTGCACATGTTTAAATCTTCTATCAGGTTAGATTTAGATACACCAATCGTACACAGAAGAAGAATAGATGTAATATGTAAGAAAGAAGCTGAATTCATTGATCATTGCAGCCAGTTATCATTTGTGCTTTCTTTCAAAATCTACAGATTTGTTTTTTTTTTTTTTTCTGTAAGGTCTATGGCAAGTAAGGTACAGGGGAGTTCATAAAGAGTGTCTAAGAAACTGTTTACAGTTCCAACCTGCTTCCTTGTGACCAGTGTCAGTGCAGGTGACACATTTATGTAGCTGTTGTACAAGTGGAGGTGCACGGAGGCTGGAGTGTCCATACGTCCAGCCTTGGTTCAACTGCGATTTTTTTTTTTTTTTTTTTTTTTTTTTTTTTTTTTTTTTTTTTTTTTATTTCTGCTGCTGCAGCCATCATGTGGATAGTGCAGTGGCTTCTGGGGGATTTTGAAGCTGGATGAGTGCAGTCTGAAGGGATTCAAATACAATATGGGGAACCCATGAGGTTCACCCCTCCTGTGATTGACAGCAGGCAGTAGGTGGACCCTTGGCCAATAGACAGCCTTCTAATGGCTGAAGAATCTGAGCACTGTCTGTTGTCGATAAGAGAGCAGACCTGATGTTGGACTAGTTTCACAGCTTCTCCATCAGGCTTGGTACCACTGGTTGATAGGAGCTTGTTGGCTATGAAGCTGACTGCATCCTTAACAACCAGCAACAGGTGAAAAAGGGAGGGTGTAGCAGTGGCATATATGCTGCTTACTTAACAGTATACATTTTGTCTTAATTACCTCCAGTGTCATTCTTTAGGAACTGTAGGCAATTCTTTTAAAATTTGGTGCATTCATATCTTCATTCTGTAAAAGTGGTGCACAAGAGAACTAACTACCACATGCTAAAGTTACCAAAATGGGTTGAAGGGATTTTTTAATCTTAAAGGGCTATAGCACCAGAAAAGTGCTATTGGGGATTTATTGAATTGACCAGACCATGTCAGGGAGCTGACTAACTGAACCTCTTTAATGCTTAAGTGCGCTTTTCAATAGGCAGCACCTGTGTTACTCTAATAGATGTTATTTATTCTATTTGATTTATATTTGATGAGCGTTACTGTTCTGTGTTTTGTACCCTTTAAATATATTTTTTCCTTCCATGACAGGTGCGAACAGTAAAAGCCCATGAACTGGTAAACCATATACCGAAGGACTCTTTACCAGAACATTTGGGAGGTACATCAAAAATAAGCCATGTAGCATGGATTCAGGCATGTGTTAATTCCAGACAAGGACAAGAAAATGGAGACTGCATGGACCATCTCTTTGTTATATACTCATCTGAGCAAAACCCTGTGAGTGATAGACTAAACTCTAATTGCACCCAGCAGAATGTGACTGATAATACCAGACTTTTACACAATCATTACCATGAAAACAGGACTAAGAATTATGCAGAGGCACACAGAGTAAGCAGCTGTGTGCATTGGAATGGGTCTGCCGTTAGCGGCAACTACGATTGTTGTGACAAAAGCTCCAGTGCAAATACAAATTGCAGGAGGCCGCCTCCTCAGTCGGAGACTCCTCCGGACACTCCATTGTATAAGCAGCCTGCTGACAATCCTTCCATCCCACCTTTACCCCAGAAATCTCGACCACTGCCTGCAGACACGGAGGTATCCATACACATGCCAGAAGAAGGAGGTATGACGGTACTTGGTTTGGTTCAGCATGTCAAGAGAATGAAAAAGCGGGGCATTTTTCAAGAGTATGAAGAGATTAGGAAGGAGCCACCAGTTGGCACATTTGATGTATCAAAGTAAGTGAAGTCATACGTTCCCCTTCCTCTCAACACACTGTTAGATAAGGTTGGTGAAAGCATTTGAGAAATTCCAGAATATGTCAGTCTAAGGAGCCAGAAGGCAGGCCATTGCTTAGATAACCGCAAAAAATGCTGCAGAAGGAAGGAAAGAGTAACATGTAATTGGGAAGTAGTCATGTGGCTACCATAATTCATCCATCATATGAATTCATCCCTACAGTAATTTGCTGTCATCCCATGTGATTTGTTACCTTCGATATTGAAATACTTAAAATACTGGAGCTCACTGCCTACTACCAATTGCCTCAACCTTAAAATGTGGAGAACAACCTCACTTCTGATCCATGGTGCTCTCTAATATTTTGTCACGCCATCGGATGTTAGGACTCTGCTGTATCCCTAAACAGAGTAGCAGAGCCTTTTCAACTTCTGCTGCAGGACCACAACAGTAAAAACAAATTGCAATGTTGTGCGGGTGGGAGAACAGAGCGAGATGGCTTTTCAGTCTGGCATGGCTATAAATTCACCAATGCATGCAGAGGAAAGGTAGAGAACATGCTGGGCATTATAGACTTTCTAAATGAAAGCACACCAGAATATATTTGCTTCTAATAAAATACATGAATATCAATACTGCATATTTATCTGACAAAGTATTTTTAAATATCTTTATCGTACATTACGGGACACAGAGCAGGCTAGATTCATGACTATGTGTGTTATATGCCACTTATAGGTGAATGGACACTGGCAGATCAATCAAACAGGAGGTTTTCCCCTATATAACCTCTCCTACACTTGAAGTACTTCAGTTTTTTTGCCAGTGTCTGTAAGGTGGATGGTCACTGATGTGTTCATGTGCGCTTAGAGCATACCTGCAGAGCCAGAATGGTTCTTTTGAGAATCGGCGACTTCCATCGGATCTATTCGAAACGCTTTTAGCCAAAATGGATGGTACCCAAGCCTTGCTGGATGAGGAGAAGAATCCTCTGGGTTTTGCCTGTAATCCAGACAAAGCCTCGATGGATGAAGGTTGCACTCCTGTTAAGATTCATATGGTGGGAATGGTAAGTTTACATTTGCAGTGTTTCTTTGAAAACAAATCTGACTGTCTGGTCATTCTCATGGTTGCCACTGGGGGCAGTGCGCTCTTTGGTCTGTCCAAGCTGTGCTCAATGTGGCTTCAGTTTCTCCTCCAGCCACTAGAGCAGGGGTCTCCAAACTTCCTAAACAAAGGGCCAGTTTACTGCCCTTCATACTTTAGGGGGACTGGACTGTGGCCAGTGGGAGTAAAAAATGCCCTGTTGTCAATGGGAGTAAACAATGTCCCGTCATTGGAATTAGTGGAAGGAATAGTGCCCCATCATTGGTGCCAGTGGAAGAAATAGTGCCCCATCATTGTTGCCAGTGGAAGAAATAGTGCCCCGTGGAAGAAATAGTGCCCCATCATTGTTGCCAGTGGAAGAAATAGTGCCCCATCATTGGTGCCAGTGGAAGAAATAGTGCCCCATCATTGGTGCCAGTGGAAGAAATAGTGCCCCATCATTGGTGCCAGTGGAAGAAATAGTGCCCCATCATTGGTGCCGGTGGAAGAAATAGCGCCCCATCATTGGTGCCGGTGGAAGGAATAGCGCCCCATCATTGGTGCCGGTGGAAGGAATAGCGCCCCATCATTGGTGCCGGTGGAAGGAATAGCGCCCCATCATTGGTGCCGGTGGAAGGAATAGCGCCCCATCATTGGTGCCGGTGGAAGGAATAGCGCCCCATCATTGGTGCCGGTGGAAGGAATAGCGCCCCATCATTGGTGCCGGTGGAAGGAATAGCGCCACATCATTGGTGGCGGTGGGAGGAATAGCGCCCCATCATTGGTGTCGGTGGGAGGAATAGCCCTCCATCATTGGTGCCAGTGGGAGCAATAGTGCCCCATCATTGGTATCAGTGGAAGAAATAGTGCTCCCTCATAGGTGTCAGTGGGAGGAATAGCGCCACGTTGTTGGTGTCAGGGGAAAGAATAGTGCCCCATCACTGGTGTCAGTGGAATAATTAGTGCCTCATCATTGCTGTCAGTGGGAGGAATTTAGTGGCCCATTGTTTGTGTGAGTGGAACAATTAGTGCCCCATCATTGGTGTCAGTGAAAGTAATTGTGCTCCATCATTGGTGCCAATGGGAGTAATAGTGCCCCATCATTGGTATCGGTGGAAGAAATTGTGCACCATCATTGGTGTCAGTGGGAGGAATAGTGCCCCATCACTGGTGTCAGTGGAAGAAATAATGCTCCATCATTGATGTCAGTGGAATAATTAGTGCCTCATCATTTGTGTCAGTGGGAGGAATTTAGTGGCCCATCATTGGTGTCAGTGGAACAATTAGTTCCCCATCATTGGTGTCAATGGGAGGAATTTAGTGGCCCGTTGTTGGTGTCAGTGGAAGAAATAGTGCCCCATCGTTGGTGTCAGTGGGAGGGATAGTGCTTGAGGGTCAGATAAAGGCAAGCAAAGGGCCACTTCCGGCCCCCGGGCCACAGTTTGGAGACCAATGCACTAGAGGGTGATGGCCACTCTGTATAGCCTACTCTTGTGTAATTGAGGCAGGAAGTAGAAGGGTGGCCATTTTCCTTATGGTTGAATTCACATGTGAGCTGAAGGATCCGTGAGGCTCCTGTGAGACAGCAGAGACCAGGAGCAGTCTATGGCTGGATAATGAGGTGTGAGTGCTACCTATGGGGCAGCTGCATGACCAGACAGGACATGATTATACACTGCATTGGTCTGCATAATCCCAGAGGGCATGTACAACTGGTTACTGATACACCCCTACATGGGTATCAGTGCACCTAAAGGAGTTTTGTGTCCAGAATAGCTTGCATTTGATCTGCAGACAATTACATTTAGGCTGCACTGAAGCAGCATAGAGACATTTAGGCTGTGTTTGATGCATATGTGCTTGGCTAGTCCTGTGAAACTAGTATGGGGCCAAGGGCATTTAATTTTGACACTGTTCTTTGATGAAATAGGCTTCTAGAAAGCAGAACGGGGCAGGTGCAGCATATTACATTATTGCATGCATACCTGTATAATTGTAGAACAGCATACTTGCATAAAATGCATACAGGCATACTTGTGCAGCTGCATGTTTGCGTAAACTGTATACTTGGCATACACTGCATACTTACATGCATAAACTGCAAAAATGCATACTTACATATCTGTGCACCAGAATAGCTGCATGGTTGCGTAGCTGTAGGCCAACATGGCTATGGACCTGCGTCCAAGTGGGACTGCATAATTAGGTTTTGGCAAATATGCTGCATTATTTCCATATTATATGATTTGAATAGAGGCAGCCAGGAGGCAGGTGCACCGCCCTCAGGTCCAATGCTCCAGTTTGTGTTCGCATTGTCTGATAAACCAGTGGTATCAGGTGTATCTGGGCCACTGCATTTGCCATGGCAACTATTCTCAGTGGCGGCATTGGCAGTTGCAATGGACTGCGGCCGCATCACCCTGAATACACCTGATCTCGTTTGAGCTTGGAAGCCAAGCAGGGTCGGGCTTGGCTTGTACTTGGATGGGAATACCAGGCGCTGTTTGCTTTCCACTACAGAGTCTGAGGCTGCAGTGTTTTAGAAGTATTTTGGACCATAGTATGCTACGGCAGTCTCTGAGGTCCTTCACTCTGTCTTTAGGTTGTCTCCTGCAGAAACCTGATTTGTTAAATTAGCCTCTGGGGCCTTTTGGGTTCCTTGCAGAATTATCAGGCTTTTGCCTTATATTTTCTCTTGGAACAGATGTTTTGGGCTCATTATTGTAAGACACTTGATTGGTTCGCAGGACCAAAACCAAACCAAGAACGTGAAGTCTATCTTGGATATCAAGTCACTAAACACATTTTTAAACGTCCGGTTTCAGATAGGATTGGTCCAGTTAATGGTGGCCTCTCTGCAAGAGAGAGATTTCTAGTGTCCATAGTCTTCAATGATACATATCTGCATGGGCCATTTCTCTGGTAGGGGGTTGTGAGGTGGATACAGTTAAGGGGACTTGGTCTACACAGGAGAGAATACTGAACATCAATACGTTGGAACTTAGGGCAGTACACCTTTCTTTTGCATTGTTGGACAAACCAGTGGCACAGGTTGTGGTCAGGGTTCAGTCCCACAGTGACACTTCTTGTCCGACCAGACCTATTTATCTTGGGTCCTGTTATCTCCGCACTGTTGAGCACCAGAAAGCCAGCTTCAGGGAGCTTCTGTTACAGGACTTGGAAATCTTATTTGCCTCGTGGAAAGCTAGGAAGTGGCATCCATGGAAATATATGATGGGAGAGATTTTGTCCTTTCTCCAACTGGGAGGGGAAATTAAATTGGCCTTAAGTACCATTAAGGGTCAGATTTCATCTCTATCCATTTGTTTCCAGAGACTATTGTTTCTCATTCCTTGATTCGTACTTCGGCAGGGTGTAACAAGGACAGTCCCACCTGTCAGGCCACCCTTGTGTCCTTGGGACCTGACCTAGACCTTGGCTGTCCTTGCAGAAGCCACCTTTTGAACCAATTTGAGAAACTCCATTAGTCCTTTGACTCGTAAGGTGGCTTATTTGGTTACTATATCACTTCAGCAAGAAGAGTGTCAGAGCTGGCGGCTCTTTCATGTATAGCCGCTAGCAGTAATCACTGTGTTCTGCAAGTGGGTATCCCCCCCCCCCCACCCCCACCCTCTGCCAGGGCCAGGAGAACACAATGACTCCGCAGGAGAGATTCCACCATCAACACTGACTGTGTTGATGGGGGAGTCTAGCAATTTTCTTTCCTGCAACAACTGGCTGCAGGAAAGAAAATCGCTCTCTCTGTGGATGGCTTAAGCCATCTCAGCATTACTGAGTCATGGCAGTTGGCAACTCCATTAGCATTAAAATATAGGAAGCATAAACTCTGTTTCTCTGAATCAGTTTAACCCTTTAATTGCGTTTTTTTTTGTGTCTCCATTGTCCTCTTCAA